TTCCACCCCTTCACTCTGAGCCTGTGTTTGTCCTGGGAGCCGAGGTGTGTTTCCTGGAGGCAACAAATTGTTGGATCTTGTTCTTTAATCCATGTTGCCACTCTGTGTCTTTTTATTGGAGAGTTCAGTCCATTTACATTAAGGGTGAGTCTTGATGCATGAGGGCTTAATGCTGTCATTCTGTTGCTCGTTTTCCAGTTTTCCTGTGTTTCCTTTGTTTCTCGTCCTTTGTCTTTTAGCCTACCCATTGACTTCTTCAATTTCTCATGCTGGGTTTCTTAGATTTTTCCTTATTTATGTTTTGTGTCTCTGTTCTGTTTTTTAGTTTACTGGCTACCCTCAAGTTTGTATTCAGAATCTCGTGTATAATATAGTCCATTGTCTGGTGGTCTCTTACTTACTTAGCCTAGACTATTTCATTCCCTTTCCTCCTCCCCTCCTAAATTATTATTTTCATGTCTTATTCCAACTTGTGTTGTGAGTTTGTGGTTAGATTGATAAGATTGTCTTTGCTTTGGTGACTTATTTCCCTTTATCCTAATGCTATAGTTGAATATTTTCTATCCTATTCCAATTCTATCTGTCTCCCTACTCTGTGTTTTGTGACCCCTTTCTCCCTTTTTTTTCTTTTTTCAGGTATGAGAGACTTCTTGAGGATTTCGTGTAGTGGAGGTCTTGTGACTATGAAGTCCCTTAGCTTGTGTTTGTCTGGAAAAGATTTAAGTTCTCCCTCCTATCTGAAGGATATTTTTGCTGGATAGAGTATTCTTGGCTGAAGACTTTTATCCTTTAAAGTTTTGAATATGTCACTCCAATCTCTCCTAGCTTGTATGGTTTCTGTAGAGAAATCCACTGAGAGTCTGATTGGGGTTCCTTTGTAGGTTATTTTCTTCTGCCTTGCTGCCCTGAGTATTCCTTCTTTGTCATTCATTTTTGCCATTTGTACTACTATATGCCTTGCAGTAGGTCTTTTTACATTGACAAATCTAGGAGATCTGAAAGCTTCTTCCACACACATTTCTCCGTCAATCCCTAGATTTGGGAAGTTCTCTTCTATTATTTCGTTGAGCACACTTTCTGCTCCATTTTCCTTTTCCACGCCCTCAGGAATTCCGATTATTCTTAAGTTGCATTTTCTCATTGAATCTGCTATTTCTCGGAGATTTTCTTCAGTTTTTGTAATTCTTAGTTCTCTTTCTTCCTCTGTCGGGAGCCATTCAGCCTGTCTATCTTCGATTATGCTAACTTGCTCCTCTATGGTGTCTACACGTGCATTCAGGGAATCCATATTCTGTTTTATCTGATCCATTGTATTTTTCATCTCTAGAATTTCTGATTGGTTCTTCTTTATAGTTTCAATCTCTTTTGTGAAGTGACTCCAGAACTCTTTGACTTGTTTCTCCATATTTCCCTTTACCTCATTGAGTTTTTTGATGATAGCTACTCTGAACTCATTTTCACTTAGTTTACCTAGTTCCAAGTCCTCAGGACATACTTCTGTGTTTTTATTGTTTTCTCTGTGCACTGGAGCTTTTATAAATTGCTGGATGGTAGAGGAGCGGTTTTTGCACATGATGCTATTATTCAGTTGCAGTTACACCCTGTCACCACTAGATGGGGGTTGAGAACCGTGTGTTCTGAGCCCTCCACCTTCAGCTGCGATGGTGGCACACAGTGTGGGTGGGGGGAGGAGGGGCACTTTCTCTTGCGTGCCAACCTGGATTCTGATCAGATCTCGCTCTCTGGTCTCCTGGGGCCCTGGCTTGATGGGGTCCCCCCATGCGAAAGTTTTCCCCTGTTAGAGGGTTTCTGCTGCATGGGCGGTGGGAGTCCTGGATGATCCCATGGATGCGTGGCCCCTCCCTTGCTCCTTCCCTTACCAGCAGCAGCGATCCCAGTCTCTAGGGGAGGGAGCGAAGTTCTCTCTTACCCTGTTCCAACTCCTCCAAGGGTGGCTCCAGCTTCTCCACCCTCCGTCATTTGGCTGCTGTGGATCTCTGACAATTTCTGTTATTAGGATTTTTTTTTGGTTGGAAAGCAGTTGCTCTTTTTGGTTGTAATTTGGAGGGGAGAGAGTCCTGCGTGAGCTCACACTGCCATGTTGCTGATGTCACTCGCTCAAAAGTCCCATTTCTCTCTTTTCTTTTTCCTGCTTTCCTTTGGGTCCTTTGAACATATTTTAGAAATCCATTTTGATGCCAGCCCCATGGCCGAGTGGTTAAGTTCCCGTGCTCTCCTTCGGAGGCCCAGGTTTTCACCAGTTTGAATCCTGGGTGCAGACATGGCACCACTTGGCAAGCCATGCTGAGGTGGCATCCCACATGCCACAACTAGAAGGACCCACAACTAAAAATACACAGCTATGTCCCAGGGGGCTTTGGGAGAAAAAATAGAAAAATAAAATCTTAAAAAAAAACCCAAGAAATCCATTTTGATTTTTTTTAGTGATGTATTTGATGTATTTTGAGTGCATCTTTTCCCACAGCTATTTTAGTCGTTTCTTTAGGTGTTATGTATACATAACTTATCACAGTCTACTGGTGTAATCATTTTACTAGTTTGAGTAAAGTATAAAAAATTTATCTCCCTTTATGTTCTTTCTGTTTATAGTTGTCTTAAATATTATCTTAGTATTTTCCCTATATGTTGTCTTAAATATTTGTCTTAAATATTTCCTTGATCTATATTTAGAACTACATCAGTTGCATCAATTGGCAAACATAATTCAGAAACCTTAAAAGGAAAAGAAAACCTATTGTATTTTCCCAAAATCTTGCTTGGTTTCATTCTTTTGTCATTCCTCTCTGTTTAGAGATTTCCTTTAGTCATTCTTTTAGAGTAGGTCTGCTGGTGACACATTCTCTTAGTTTTTCTTCATCCTGAGAATGTCTACGTTTCCCCTCCTTCTTGAAGGATATTTTCACTGGGTATGGGGTACTGGGTTGACAGTTTTTTCCTTTGAGTATGTGAACATACTATGCCACTTCCCTCTGGCCTTCAGTTTTCTGATAAGAAATGCACTGTCATTCTGATTACTTTTCCCCTATAGGTAAGGTGTTGGTTTTCTCCAATTGTGTTCAAGATTTCTTTGTCTTCAGTTTTCAGAAGTTTATTTATGATGTGTCTTGATATGAATTTATGTTTATCCTGTTTGGAGTTTTCTCAGCTTCTTAAATCTGTAGACTTATGTCTCTTGCCAGGTTTGGGAATTTTTCAGCTATTATTTCTTTCTTCAGCCCCATTCTCTTTCTCCTCTCCTTCTAGGACTCCATGACACAAATGTGAGATCTTTTATTATAGCCCCACAGGTCCCTGGGGCTCTGTGTTTTTCAATTTATTTTATCTCTGTTCAGATTGGGTAATTTCTGTTCTATTATCCAGCTCACTAATTCTTTCCTCTCTTTATTCTGCCATTGAGCATATCTACTGAGCTTTTTATCTTGATTATTGTATTTTTCAGTTCTAACATTTTCATTTGGTTCCTCTTTATATTTTCTATCTTTTGCAAAGGCTTTCTATTTTTTCGTTTGTTTCAAGCATGTCTGTAGTTACTTGTTAAAGTGTTTTTATCATGGTTTCTTTAAAATCTTTGTCAGATAATTCTAACATCTCTTCATCTCAGTGTTAACATCTATTGATTGATTGTCTTTTTTTATTCACTTGAAATCTTCCTGGTTCTTGGTATGATGAGTTTCTATTGAAACTGGACTGTTTTATGTCGTGTTTTGAGACTCTGGGTCTTATTTAAACTTTTTGTTGCAGCCAGCTTCCTCCAATACCTCTGTGGCAGGGGAAGGAGGTGCTGCCTTGTTGCTGCCGGGTGGAGGCAGATGTCCAAGTTATCACTTAGCTTCCATTGACACCTGAGCAGGACCTTCTTTTTATTGCTGCTTCAGGGTGGGAGAATCTTTCTCCCAGTGGTCTCCACTGACATCACGTGGTGGGGAGGCTTGCTACTGGCCAGTGATGAGAGAGTCCAGGCTCCCTGCTTGGCCTTCCGTGACTCCACCCTGATACCGTGTTACAGCCTACTGAGGATGGACATCCAGGCCCCCCATTCAGCTTTGCTGACCTTGGTAGGGTCGGGGCCATAGTTTTTTCTGTGGTATTTGGCTGTAATAAAGCGGTTATTGTCTAAGTGTTTTCCTCTTGCTAAGCTTCTCTTTTCTTTCTGCTTTAGCTAGAGCGAGCAGGCTTTTGTTGGGGCTATTTTTGTTTGTTATTGTTGGTATTTCTGGATTGCTAAAATCTTCAGCTCCGTGTCTGGGATAATGAAGTAAAAGAAAACCAAAGGAGCTCACACTGTGTCACTGTGCCAGGCCTGAGGTTCCTGGCAGTCTGTCTTTTCTCTCCACTTTCCAGAGCCCTGTATGTTTGCTTTATACATGGTGTCCAGAGGTTTTCAGTGTACTTATGAGGAGGAATAGGGAAAAGCATGTCAACTCCATCTTCCAGAAGTGAAAATACATCAATTTTTTAAAAAATGCTTGTAGGTGAGTCTAATGTATAGCAAAGACTGAGAACCATTAGACCACAGAGGTGGCAGTAACTTGGTCCAGATAACACCAACTTTGGGCTGTCTTTGAGAGCATCCTTCATAAAGGTGACTACTGTCATCATAAAGGGAAATGATACCATCCATTTAACCCCCTCCTCAGCCCAGCTCCATTTAAGGCATGGTTACCAAACTAAGCGTAGCCAATATCAAAGGCTTTGGTGGTTGCTTAAAATGGTCTTGAGGGGATTACGATAACAGTCAGCATGGTGGTTATTTTTCCTAGTAGAAAAGGGGCTATTATTGGGATTAGGGCTCATAAAAAGCCTCCTAATGTGGTGGCAAAGTCCAGTGTTGTTCACCTTAAGCTATGCATTTATTTTGTGTGGTGTTCCACATCTGTGGTTTTTTTTTTTTTTTACAAATTTTTTTTAAAGATTTAAAAAATAATTTTTAATGGTGTTTTCTGTTGACTGCCGTTTGTGACATCTGACTGTCTCTGCAGGTCTCAGCCCCACAGAGCTGCCATTTGATTGTCTCGAAAAGACAAGCCGAATGCTCAGCTCCACGTACAACTCTGAGAAGGCTGTTGTGAAAACGTGGCGCCATCTCGCCGAGAGCTTTGGACTGAAGAGGGATGAGATTGGGGGCATGACAGATGGCATGCAACTCTTTGACCGCATCAGCACCGCAGGCTACAGCATCCCAGAGCTGCTCACAAAACTGGTGCAAATAGAGCGGCTGGATGCCGTGGAGTCCTTGTGTGCAGACATACTGGAGTGGGCTGGGGTCGTGCCACCTGCCTCCCAGCCACCCATTACACCCTGAGGACAGCCTGTGGACTGTCCTCCCTGGGGTGCACCAAGGATCTAATGAGGGCTCTGGAGCTGTGAGCAGTGCCAACAGACTGCCAAGAATCAAGGCTTTTTCTCCTATGTCACCTAAGGCTTGGAATGTCTTAGGCTATTCCAAGGAACAAGAGGAATGAGGCCTGTCTTCCAAACTAACCAAAGGTAAGAGATTAGAGCTGGGCTACTCCTAGCTACCCACTGGTACCTCACCAGGCAGAATGAATGTTTACTCAGCCAGCCAGTCAGCCTACCAAGAACTCTGTCAGGGGACATTGTTGGGTTCTCAAATGAACCAAACATGTGGAGATTACAGAGGTGAAGAATCTGGTCCCTGTCTTTAAGGAGTTTACAACCCAGTGAGAGAGAGAAGACGTGTGCAAACCACTTTGCTAGAAGGCATCAAGCAATCTGAATGAGGAGACGTTAGAAAATGTAATGAAAATTCTGAGAGAGGGAGATGCCTTCCCACTAGAGCAATGAAGGAGGGAATGCTCGTGAAGAAAGGAGCTCAAAAGTTTGGTACAAAGGCCAGAAAATACAGATACCCCACTCCATGTATTGTTTCAGGTTCAGTACAAGTCTGTTAATATCCTAAGTGGCTTCATTAGGATAACTTTGCCTGTTCTTGAGGTTTTCCATGTTCCTACAGCCCTCTAGTCACTAATTCAAGAGCTCACTCTATCGCCTGCTTGTGTTACTGATATGCAAGTTGTGCATTTGTCCAATCAAGCAGACCTGTGTGGTAGCCAATGACACTTACTGCATGAGTCCTAGGCCTGGGAATACAATGGTTTTGTATTGCACATCAATTGCCTTCAACTCTCATTCTTAGTCAGATTTGACCCCTTTCGAGCAGCTATTGCTGCCCAAGGACACAAGTCATTAAGTTATGTGTTAGGCTATTTTTGCTTCAAAGAGAAATGGGTGGTCAACTCTGCTTAGAAAGGAAAGTGATGACTTCCTAAGAGGTCAGCCATGTATAATTGTAGATTTGCAGAGTATCCAAGTCTTGTGGGTGAGCCTCATGGGGTGGGGGTTTCACTCCAGCCTCCTGAGCCAGTCAGGGAAAGGGGAGCCCTGCAGTACAGGGAGAGCCTGGGCATGGAGTCCAGGGACCTGGTTCGAGTTGTGCCAACTTGGGCCATTTTCTTCTCCCTCCCTAGCCCTCAATTTCTATCCTGCAAGTGAGAGCTTAGTCTCTGATTCTATAATCAGGAAAAGTAAGAATCAGGGGAGCAAAATGGAAATTGAGCTCCTTGAAATGCCAGGCCTTCAAAGGCACTCCATGTGAATACAGTGTGAGTATCAAGTAAAATGGGAATAAAAACAGAAAAACTCAGATTGGGAGTGTTCATAGTAACTGCAATTGTTTGGCACATGTTTAGAGATAAAGTTAATGAACTGGCATTGTTATTGGCAAATTCTCTCACTACACCTGCAGTTGCCAAGAGCTTGGGAGCCAGGATGGTGAGCATCCCGGAGGTTAGAGTTCGCTGCTGAGCTGACAGGGCTGACCATGGGTGTCACGACATTAACCTGTCCCTGCCTTGTAAAGCAATGTTTTCAAATTGACGAGTCACATGACTGAGCAACGCCCTGGGGGAGGAAATCAGTCATGTCTTTAAAGCCAACAAAGTTTCCCACCAATGAATGTAGAACGTACTGTGATAGGATCATGATTGGGTCCTGAATATTTAATATCACTTACTGTGTCTGTTTGCTGCTGTTTTTCAGAATCTATTAGGTATATATCCTGCGAGCTAAATACTCCACAGCAAACCTTAATTATCCTTTTAATCCCTCTTTGAAATCCTACAGTGCCTCTTTCCCCTGCTTTGTGATAATGATGATGAAAGTCTCCCCTTTAATTAGACTGCAAATGTCTCATGTGATGAGCATGCCGTTACAGGATAACAGCTTGCAGCTTCTTTAGAACAATGTTTTCAGGGAAGGAACAGGGGTGGCTGTTCTCTGGCCCCGGAGGTTTGCCTTATTTCACACTGTTAGAATTCTGGGGCCCGAGGTACAGCCAGCATTAGACCATGTTCCGTTGACTCTTAGCCTGCCATTTTTAGGGAGCTAGTCCTTATAGACTTACCAATTCCTTTGTCATTTACTTGTTTGGAAACAAATCACGGAAAGCTTTACTCTGATGAGCTGTAGGCTGCATTATGGAATTCAAATCAGTGAGACTGTAATGATCATCACTGACCGAAGCTGGGACCCCACCCTGCTGTTTTATACGGAGACGGTCAGTATTTTGCTATATTTAAAAACATTTAGAAACACCCCAGGCTAGAGCTGTGGCCTTAGCAAATGAAGTTTAATTGTCAATATTTTTGTCTAATTCTGTATATATAACTTATTATATTTTACAATTTCAATAAACAAACTAATAAAAAAGAGATCTACAGATGCTACACTGTGAGCTCTTTGTGTGTGGTGGGACAGGGTGGGGGAGGGGGCAGATGAGTGGAGAAGGTTCTGATTGCTCTGTTCCTGGCTTTTGCACTGTGTATGATGAGACTGTAAGATTGGGACCAGCCAGATATGAATTGCCTAAAATGTTATGGCCTGGGCCATGCATTCAACAGAAGCAAGCATTACAATGAGGTCATGTAAAAAACACCGGGAGCGTTGCTTTACAAGTTGCCATCATTAGTTTGTAAGGCATTGTATCACTTAGCTACCATGATGTAATGTACCATCCCAAAATTCAGTGGCTTAAAGCAACAGTCATTTTATTATTACATCTCAGGGGTCAGTAGGGGTGCTAGCTGTCCTAGGTTGGGCCCGGTTGGATGTGGCTCAGCTGTGCCTCTGCCTGCTGGCATACTTTAACTAGAGTAGCTCTGCTCCACTGTCTCTCCTTCTCCTCCTCCAACCAGTTCTCTAGCTTACGCATGCCTTCATTGTGGCATTGGCAAGTGCAAAATGAGCAGAAACGCAGAAAGTTTCTTCAGGCCTAGGCTCAAAACTGGCATGCTGTCACTTCTAGCTCATTCTATTGGCCAAAGTAAGTTCTGCAGCCAACCCCATCTGTATGAGGAACTGCGAAGTCAAATAGCAAAAGGTAAACAATTGGGACAGATAAAGCAAATGTCCATAGGTATATGAGTTTCCCTGTGGCTGCTCTAATAAATTACCACAAATCTAGTGGTTTAAAGCATCACACATTTATGATCTTAGAGTTCTGCAGGTCAGAAGTCCTAAAATCAAGTTTTCAGCGGGGTTGTGTTCCTTGCAGAGACTTTAGAAGTGAATCTGTTTCCTGTGTCAACACAAATAACCCGTAATCAATCTATAAATCAAAATTGGGGTGAGTTATTATGAGCCAGATCTGAGGACTAGCCTGGGGCCTTCCTTCCCCAAGGAAGGAATGGCACCAAAGACGTGGGATGTACAGAGTGGTTTGCATACTGTATAGAACAAGAGCTTACATCACATATGATAGGAATGTTCCTTTTACAATTGTCATGAGATGCTTAGCTGGCACAACAGGTCAGTGGTCACAAGGTGACCACAGCAGGTGGGTAACTAATCCTGTTCCCAGGAAGAGATGCTTATCCTTAAAGAAATGCCGATATGGGGGGAAGCTACATCCTTATCTTTAAGGGCATTGTTCTTGTCTTTGGGACATGGTAAATGTTTAAAGCAGATGTATAATGCATGCTCAACAGGCCACATAGGTCCTTTTGGAAAAACAAGGTCAGGCCGAATCAGTTTTAACCCAAATGTCTTCCTCATATACTCCAATATAGCCTATTGTTTTTTATTTATTTATCGCTTGCCTTTTCTAACTTCTAGTGTCTGTCCATATTCCTTGGCTCATGGCTCCCTTCCATCTTCCAAGCCAGCAATCACATTGCTCCAACCTCTGCTTCCACTATGACAGCTCCTCTCTGACTCTCACCCTCCTGCTTCCCTCTTTCCCTTTTAAGGACCCTTGCAATTACACTGGGCCCACCCAGATAATCCAGGATAATCTCTTCATTTCAAGATCATTAATTTAACCACCTCTGCAAAGTATCTTTGCCACGTAAAGTCACATACTCACAGGTTCTGGCAGTTAGGAGGTGGATATCTTTGAAGGGCCATTGTTCTGCTGACCACAGTAAGTATGTGAATGGTTGTGGACTATAACAATGGAACAACATCAGAAGAAGCACTCTGCCAAAGGGTACTTTCCAGCTAGGTCTATTTTATCATGTAGGTAAAATGTAAACCGCAGTAGCTGCCTCTTGCTGGGGCCTGAGAGAGAGGAGGGACAGGCCGTCCGCAGGTGCTCAGCGACAAGGGCTCCACTGGCCTGCCCTCCGGCTCCTCTCCAGCTGGGAAACACAAGCTCTGCGCTCCTCCACCTCCATCCCCAGTGGTCCAGAGGGGATGTGGCAGAGTCACATGAGCCCCTCAGTTTGAATTTGAGAGTATCTCTTTATTCAAATCTTAATCAGACTTTTAAAAAAATTTCTAGCAAATCATTCACTTTGGCAACAATGATGGATTTGAATCCTAAATGAATTATTGGCTTTGCATACAACCAGCACCCAAGCTGTATTTTGCTGTTCAGTCAATGCATTGGGGCCCTGCAAATACTTCTTGCATTTTGTAGTAAAAAGTTAAAGTCCTGATACCTCTTCCCATACAGCATGTTGGAGTGTTTTATAAACTAGGAAAATCTGGAAACAGTACAATCATTGCCTTAAAAAGCCACTTTTGAGGGTTGGAGGAGTCCTTCTCAGCTACACGTTCTGGTGCCGTGACACCTTGTGAGAAGTCGAAGTTTTGTAGGTATTTCATTTGTTAAAACCCAGCAGAGAGATAACCAGAGGGCAAAAATGGAGGGAGAAGATTTAAAATCATTTCCCTGAGGGTCACCCTGAGCCTGGCTTGTCATTCAAACCAAAAGCATCTAGTGGTTCCAATTAAACAAGGTTATTCATGTTCTTTTCTTCCTTATTTTCATAGAGCCAATGAGCATCCTGTACACAGGATGACTACTTCACTTAGAGAAAATGCTCCTATTCACCCACAGTCACCTGCCTTGAACTCCTCTAAGAGACTGTCAAGTCATTTCTCTATGCTTGAGTCTTCTCATCTATAAATGGAGATAATAGTATTATGTTGCTTTTAGTATTGTTGTGAGAATTAAATTAGATAATAATTATAAAATACTCGATCTGGCACATGATAAATTTCAATAAATGTTAGCTATCATCACATTATTATTATCTCATCTTGAAGGTGTGGAAGCTAATAAGCTAGCTGCAGAGAATTTTCTAAATGGAATTCAGATAGGAAGATGATTATAAGGCTTACAATGATTACTGCTAGGAGAACTATTACTACTAGGAGAAATATGAATATACGAGAGAAAAGAGGACGTCAGTCCAATCAGAGAAAATGCTGGTGTGCAGATTTCTGCTGTCCATGGTGGGGACCTGGAGAAGGGGCAGCAAGCTCCCCAGAGCAGAGGCCAGCGACCTTACACCAGGAGGAGGCCTGTGCCTCTGGGCCCTGGAGCTGCTCTGCTTGGATTGATGACACCCTGAGGAAGAGGTGAAGGGGTCTCTCATAATGCAGAGATGGGATTGGCTTGTAAACCATCTACCTGAACATCATAGATAACTAATGTTAACTGATGTTGATACCTAAGAACAAAGGAAACATCTTTCAACTCATCTGCAATTCAAACTTTAGTATATATTACAGATAAAAGAGAGCACTTCAGAGCTACAGGACATCAAAAAAGTCTGCATGACACTTTCTGAAGTTCAAGTTAAAGGGGCTGTAGGCTTTTACTCAGTAAACACTTCAGGATTAGTGTAATAAAATTATCAAAACTCCTCCTTTATGTTAGTAGGAGCTTTTAAAATGTAACTCCTTACAGGACCAGCCCCATGGCCAAGTGGCTAAGTTTGCACACCCTGCTTCGGTGGCCCAGGGTTTCACCAATTCGGATGCTGGGCACTGACATGACACAACTCATCAGGCCATGTTGAGGCAGTGTCACACACACCACAACTAGAAGGACCCACAACTAAAAATATACAACTATGTACTGGGGCTTTGGGGAGAAAAAAGAAGAAGCTTGGCAACAGATGTTAGCTCAGGGCCAATCTTTCAAAAGAAAAAGAAAGCATGGGAAGCCAGCAGAGGAGTAACTAGGATTGCTCAAAAACAATTAAAATTAAAATTAAAAAGGACTCAAAATAAAGATGGTGGCATAAGCAGACTCTGAACTCACCTTCTCCCACAAACACAACTTAATTACAACTATTTTTGGAACAATTACTGCTGAGAGAGTGAAAATTGGATAAAAAGAACCCCTGGAACAAG